CTGGTTAATCATCAAGCAAGTTAGCTCTTTAGACAAAAATTGAAAAATTGGAATTCCCTCCAGCTGCGTCTCTCTTCCAAACTTTTAAAGGCGCATAACTCGCTTTAAAAGGAAGCTAGAATGATGAAAATTGAACAGAATTATTGGAAATTTTCAAGGGTTTTTAGATAATAAACGATACTTTTGAAAATTTGAGAGAAAAAATTAATTTTTCACGAAAATTTGAATTTTTGACCAGACAATTTTATATTGGGCGTTTTTTAAGCCTAATTTTTTTAAAATTTTTTTTGAAATTTTAACTTTTTGTAAGTAAAAATATATGCTCTTTCAAATTCAAGAAAAATCAATAATTTTCCTTGAAATTTGAAAAAGTTACGATCCAATTTCCAGAACAACCCTTTGAGCTCCCTTTGAGCCCCCCCCCCCCCCCCAATTAACGCTTCCTAATTACCTGAGAAAGAACTTTACGGAAATGGAAGAGTGTGCATTCTATGAAGACACCCCAGTGGTGGGTTCGGAAGCCACGGGACTCGCTGAGACGACCATGGACTCTGAAAATGTTAGGTAATTAAGGCTAATTAGGGTAATTAAGGGTTTTCAAATCAAATTTTAGTACTCAACTCTTGAAGTTTTTATCAAATTTTTTTCTCGAAAATTCTCAAGCACCCTTGAAGTTTTTTTCCAATTTTTTGAAAGTATTGTATATTACCTGAAAGCTCTTAAAATTTCCGATAATTCTGTTAAACTTTCATTGTTCTAGCTTCTGTTTGAAGCGAGTTATGCGCCTTTAAAAGTTTGGAAGAGAGACGCAGAGAAGCGAGAGTGCTCTAGCGTCTCTGCGTCTATCAATGCGTTTAAAGACCCATAACTTGGCTCAAGGTTGTTTGATTTTTTTGATTTCTAGCTAGATTTGTAGGAAATTTCAAGGACTACAAGATTATATAAAATTGAGATATCCAGAAAATTAAAAATTTTTAATTAATTTTTAGTTTTTAATTTAAAAATACTGAAATTTTTTTCGAAATTTTTTAAAAGTATTGTATCTTATCTAAAAACCCTAAAATTTTCAATAGTTCTGTTAAATTTTCATAGTTCTAGCTTCTGTTTGAAGCGAGTAATGCGCCTTTAAAAGTTTGGAAGAAAGACGCAGAGAAACGAGAGTGCTCTAGTTTCTCTGCGTCTCTCAAAATTTTTTCAAATCATCTACAAACCTTCCCAAATTATCACAAAGGGGATTCAGCGATTCCGGATTGTCCAACGTCTTCACAACGGATTCAAGGACCTGAAAATATTAAAAGTTTTCAAATTTCGTCTGTCTGTTGGTCCAGATGTCGGCAATTTAAAAATTTAAAAATTTTCAATATTTCATCTCTTTCTAAAATAAGGAAATTTTCTGTTTGTCTGTTGGTCCGGATGTCCCAGAACTACTAGAAAAGAATCTAAAAATAAGTTTAAAACTAGCGATTATGCAAATGCGCTCTAATGCAAATCGGAAATCTCTAAAAGAGATGCATCTAATCTTGATCTATGGTGTATTTTTTTTAGTAGTACAAAAAACTATTTTCAGATTTTTCACTTTCAGACAAATCCAATTTTTTATAATCAAATCAAAAAATTATGACCTCACAAGTTTTATGACCAAAATCAAAGTTTTTTAAAATAATTTTTCAGAAGCATTGAATATCATCTGAAAACCCTTAAAATTTCCAATAATTCTGTAAAGTTTTCGTAGTTCTAGCTTCATTTTGAAGCGCGTTATGCTCCTTTGAAGAGACGCAGAGAAGCGAGAGCGCTCTGGCTTCTCTGTGTCTCTCAAAACGTTTAAAGGCGCATAACTTGGCTCACGGATGTCCGATTTTATTGGTTTCTAGCTAAATTTGTAGGAAACTTTAAGGAAGATTATATGAAATTCGATCGTTCGAAAAGAAATTTGGAGAGAGAGAGAGAGAGAGAGAGAGAGAGAGAGGGAAACTAACCTGCATAAATCGGAGACCATGAAATTCGATTTCTTTGGACTTTCCAGATTGTTGGAATTTCATAAATGGGAAGAGCTGAAAATAGTCATTTTCAGAAAATCTTAAAATTTTTGAAAAAGAATCAAAATTTTTCAATTATGGACTACAATTCAAGATCTATTTCCATTCATATCTGCTCGATTTTTACCAATTTTTCCTAAAATTCTCTAATTTTTTGAAAATGCTAATTATCCCTAATTGCCCCCCATCTAATTACCTGTTTAGTATCCGGACTTTGATTAAAAATCATTTCAAAAATATTATAGGCGGTGTTGTTTAAATTCTTGTCCAACACTTTCCAACTTCGACGGATAATGTCCTTCTCTTCTGGAGAAAAACGGTCCAGGGCTTCCATTTTTCAAGAAATTCGATATTTATAAAAAATAGGATTCAGAAGACGTCAGGGACAAAAATCTGAAATAGAAATATTGAAAAAAAAATATTTTTTTTGGGAAAATGTCATTTTTTGCCTGTTTGAAATCCGAATTCAAACTTTTTCAGTTTGTCTGAAATTTGCAGACTATACTAAACATAAATAGAGCTTCATTTTTGTAGTTGACAACTTTTTTGAAAAATCAATCCCTGATGGGATAGGCCACGTGGAAGATGCCCCTCTCTTTGGGCGCCTACCTGCCTGTGGGGGCGGTGCACTTCCACGTGGCATGTCTCGCTTCTTTGAATTTCTATCAAAAAAGTGTCAACAACAAAAATAAAACTCTAGATTTGTTTAGTATAGTCTGAAAATTTCAGAAAAATTGAAAAGGTTTGAACTAGAGTTTCAAACAGGCCAAAAAATGCCATTTTCACTAATTTTGAAAAAAGCGAAAAAATTTTTCTAGAAAATGCTAAAAGTAAAAAAAATGCAGAAGACGTTCCTCTTCTTCAGAATCTCAGAATCTAATAGAAGACGTCTTCGTCTACACGTCTTCTAAAGAAGATGAGAAGAGCAAGAGGGGAGGAAAAGGGGAGGGGACAAAAAGTGGGCGGAGCTTCAGACGGAAACGGAGACAGAAAATGGAAATTAGATTTCGAAGAAGAAGGAGAAGGGCATAAGGGGGAATTCTGAAAAATTGGGAACATCTTGTTTGTCGAAAATAGCAAAAAAATATTTTTTTTTGAAAAAAAAAATTTTTTCCCAAAAATTAATTTTTATTAAAAAAATTTTTAAGCTATATTTTTTCCCAAAAGTAGTGTGAAAATCAAAATTTCCGGATTTGTCACATAGTGATTTCTGAATAGCTCTTCTAATTTTCTATAAAACATTTTTCTGATTTGTCATTTTTTAGGATTACTGGAACTATATTTTTTTTTATTCAAAAAAAAACATAAAAGTTGGAAAAGTAGATCATGCGGATTATATATTTTTCATAAAGTACAAAAAATCTGAAGATTTGAAAAAAAAAGTGATATGAAATTGATAAAAAATGATATCAGATGAGACATTATATAGAGGATATCCGATTGATTTCAGTGAACTTACAACTCGAGAAATTAGAAATTTTGCAAAAAAAAAAGGAATTAAGGAAGTTAAATCTGAGAAATCTAGATATATTTTTGATTTTTTGAAAATTTGAATTTAAAAAAAAATTTTGAAAAAAACTTTTTTTGGAATTTTTCGAAAGTATTGTATACCACCTGAAAGCCTCTGAAATTTCCAATAATTCTGTCAAACTTTCATTGTTCTAGCTTCCGTTTGAAGCGAGTTATGCGTCGTTAAAAGTTTGGAAGAGAGACGCAGAGAAGCGAGAGTGCTCTAGTTTCTCTGTGTCTCTCAAAACTGTTTAAAGACGCATAACTTGGCTTAAAGTTGTTCAATGTTAATTATTTTTAGCTAGCTTTGTAGGCTATTTCAAGGGCCACATGATTATATAACATTCAAGAAGATAATTTTTTCGATTTTTCGGAAAATTTTTTGAAATTTTTTTTGGAATTTTTCAATAGTACTGTATATCTTCTGGAAGCCCTTAAAATTTGCACAAATCCTGTCAAATTTTCATAGTTCTAACGTTCCGTTTGAAGCGAGTAATGCGCCTTCAAACATTTAGAAGAGAGACGCAGAGAAGCGAGAGTGCTCTAGCTTCTCTGCGTCTCTCAAAAATGTTCAAATGCGCATAACTTGACTCAAAATTGTTCAATTTTAATTATTTTTTGCTAGATTTGTAGAACATTTTAAGAGCTACAAGAATATGTAAAATTCGAGAAAACAAAATAATTTTCGCCAGATGCATGTCTTAACCTCCTCTCTCATAGTCGTAATCATGTTTTACCCTCACTCCATTTCTCCAGCTGAACGTGATTTTTTTAAAATATATACACCCTCCCCCAACCCATTTATAATAGCAAAAATAAATATTTTTGATTAAATTCTGGCAAAGACCCAAAATAATTGGGTTTCTAGATAAATAAGTGGTACTAGGTGGTGTACAAATAATATACTTAGATTAGGAAATTAGTGGAAAAAAAATCATTTCGTCAAAGATTGGGTACACTTTTACTGGGTGAAAATCGGTCAGAAAAACCTGAAAAATTAGCGAAAACAAGCCAAAAAAAATTGTATTGTATTGTATTTATTACGTAAAAAATACGTGGAAGATACGTGGAAAATGCTACAAATCTGAAAATACAGGCAAAAATGTAGCAAGAAATCTAAAAATAAAGCTGAAAATCTGTAAGCCCACAAGCCACGCAAGCCCACAAGCCCACAAGCCCACAAGCCTACAAGCCCACAAGCCCACAAGCCCACAAGCCCACAAGCCCACAAGCCCACAAGCCCACAAGCCTACAAGCCCACAAGCCCACAAGCCCACAAGCCCACAAGCCCACAAGCCTACAAGCCGACAAGCCTACAAGCCCACAAGCCCACAAGCCCACAAGCCCACAAGCCCACAAGCCCACAAGCCCACAAGCCTACAAGCCCACAAGGCCACAAGCCTACAAGGCCACAAGCCTACAAGCCCACAAGCCTACAAGCCCACAAGCCCACAAGCCCACAAGGCTACAAGCCCACAAGCCCACAAGCCCACACACACACACGCACACAGACACACACACACACACACACACACAGGTTTTTAACATTTTCATTTTTCAGCTCATTGATCTGAAAAAAAATGTGTCTAAAAAGTCTCAAATTTTCAGCCCAAAATATGTCTAAAATAAGAACGAGGAAGTTCCTTAAAAAGGACCAAAAAATTCTCTCCCAGGGGAGAAATGCATAAATCTTTGGAAAAAAGATTTATCTTATTTTTAACAAGTAGGTGAGTTTCTGAATTTCCTCAAAAAAAAAAGTTGGACCCAAAAAGAAGCCGGAACCAAAAAAAAGGAGAAGAAGATGTTGGAAAATGATATTCCCTCTCAAAAATTTTTCTCTCACTTTTTTTTTCTTTTTTTCCTCAAAGTGTTCCAACAAATTTCGTTTGAAAGCCCTTGAGGGCAAATTGAAGGGAAAAAAGAAGTTTCTTTGTTGGTTAGATTGAAAAGAGAGAGAGCCTTATTTCATTTCCGAGCGAGAGAATTTTTGAAAAAATGGAATATATAGTATACACTTTAAGCTCAATTATCTCAATTTCTGTAAGAGATATCAAAAATTAGTCAACTGATAAAATATTGACAACACTATGGTAAATATTTTATCAGTTTACCACTTTTTGATATCTCTTACAATAACCGAGATATATAGGCTCAAAGTTTGGGGAGAAGTGCCACTTTGAGCTCAACTATCTCGGTTCCTATAAGAGATATCAAAAATCTGTCAACTGATAAAATATTGATAACATCATGATAAGCAACTCATTAGTTGACAAGTTTCTGATATATGTTGTAGGAACCGAGATAGTTAAGCACAGAGTACATATAAAGGGTGGGCTTCTAGTTCACAGTCAAAACATGTGGTTGGGTGTATTTTTTTTAATTTTAAAAATTGAAGAAATCCTAACTTTCATTTTTTATTAATTAGAAAAATTCATGAAATATCAATTTTTTGAGGAAAAAAAAAAGCTTTTTCGGGGTCCTTTATCTCTTTTTTTTTTTTGCTAAATTACCAGTCGGTTTAGGCCCCTTCGGGGCTAAATCTCCTGGCCTCCGGTCGCCCTCCACCATCGCCCTTTCTGCCCACCCACTTTATGAAACCAAGGAACGTCTCCAGAAGACTTCAAAATCAAAGTTTCGAAAAACCAAAAGTTCGGGCATCAACTAAGACACAATTCTGATCTATCTGTCCAAGTTTCAGCTTGATCGGTTAACTTTGAATGGGTGATAAGGTGTGCTACATACATACGCACATATAGAATCTGGTGAATGTTATTAGTAATGATACTATAAATCTTTCTAGAAGTAACTAGAAAAAATTATTCTTCCCGGAATGACGTTTTCTGTCATAGATCCCTTTTTTTTCAAAAAGATTATGTATGTATACAGAAAAGTAGATCCTCCCCGCATAATAATTAATCCCTTATAACACTTATTTTTAACTTTTTTTGTTAGTTAAGACACCTGACTACATACTTGTCTTCCAGGGAAATATGAAAACACGAGTCACATAGAAAAGAGAAAATTAATTAAAACAATTCATTAGGAATACAGTTTATTTCCTTAAAAGTCTCAGAATTTCGAAATTCGAGATTTTCTACTTTCAAAATTTAAGAATCTTAAAATCTAGGATTTTCGAAATTTGAGATTTTTAGAGTTTCAAAAAAAATTTCAGAATTTCAAATTATCGGAATTTCAGATTTTTAAATTTCCAGAATACCGAAATTTCAGAATCCCAGAATTTCAGAATTTCAAAATCTCGAAATCTTAACATTTCAGACATTTCTGACATTTTCAAAACATCAGAATCTCAGAATATCATATTTCCAGAAAATCGATTTTTCAGAATTTCAAATTATCGGAATTTCAGATTTTTAGATTTCCAGACTACCGAAATTTCAGAATCCCAGAATTTCAGAATTTCAAAATTTCGAAATCTTAACATTTCAGACATTTCTGACATTTTCAAAACATCAGAATCTCAGAATATCATATTTCCAGAAAATCGATTTTTCAGAATTTCAAAACATCAGAATCTCAGAATATCATATTTCCAGAAAATCGATTTTTCAGAATCCCAGAATTTCAGAATTTCAAAATCTCGAAATCTTAACATTTCAGACATTTCTGACATTTTCAAAACATCAGAATCTCAGAATATCATATTTCCAGAAAATCGATTTTTCAG